TATGTCGTATGTTAATAAAATATCAGTAGTATTAGTAAGGAAAAAAATTTAATTAGATAATAACAAATTTTTCGGTTTCACTTTCTATAATAAAGAATAAAAATACGATTATATTACGAAATTTATAATAATAGCGTATCGATACACTTTAGACTTCACTTTAATAAGCAATGTATAAACCAAATTTAGTTTAAAATTGTACAAATATTACATAAACAAAAAAACACATAACATAAAAAAGGAATTGAAGGTAGAGTTATTGTAAATATGAAACAATGTAGATATGAAAAAATGTTGTAAATTCATATAAAATATATATACACGAACAAGTTTTTATCATGTTTAATTTTTTTATTATTGTACGTGTGGTTGTGTGTCTATTGTTACTGAATGTGTAACTTGTGAGTAGCTTTTTAGGTATCATTATGCGTAGCACCTTAACACAGAAATGCAAAATAACTACATATCTCACGATTAAGATTTGGTCGGGATCCCATTATTGTCTTTTTTTATTAAGGACATTAAACAATTGTATAATAAAAAAATTACAATTCAAACCTTATATAAACAGATTAGCTAATTACACAACCAACAACTATCTCCGCTCAAATACCGTAGGAATTAAAAATAAAAAGGCATATAAAACACAGAAATAAAAGAAGAGGCAACAATGCAGCAGTTAACAGCAAAATTATGATTGTTGCATGTATTACTTGCAAAAAAAAAAAAAAAACAGGATTGATTAACTTTATAATATTAGAAGAAAAGAAAAAGATAAATTACAAATCATTCAATACAAGTTTTATAGCTTTCCTAAATTGAGGTAGTGACATGGCAAATAAGTCTACATCGGAGAAGCTGTTGTCATACAATTCCATTATGCGACGCAAAGGCGAACGCTTTTGTTTTGCAGAGATTAAGGAAAATACCAAAGATACACGTGAGTGTTTCGTATTTTTTGCGAGCGAATTTATACACGAAGGTTTATACTATGGACAAATTGAGGACTGTCTAAAAAGTTATGACAAATTGTGTAGAGAAAAATACAGTGAAGCAGTAATCGCCTATTAACTAACGTTGTTAAAGAGTATTTATATAAGAGGTTATCATAAAAGGATCAAGGACGGTAACATCTATAGGTAACAGAGCGTAGATATTTACCTAAAACTGATTCTAGTAAATCACGATAGCTTTGGTAAAAGGGATTCCAACTTGTGTGGCATGTTCCAACTGAGATATTATAATAGATTTATAAAGCAGTAGATAAGTGCCAGGTTTTTCAAATGGCTTAGAAGTTCTCATGATAAAACGGTAAAGTTACCAAACTAACTAATCAGCCAACCACAGCAGTGCCAACTTCTTAACTTAATCCAGATCTTAATGATAAGAGGCGCAAACTGCTGCGCTTCTAATTTTTTCGGTAACTGACGTTTTTAAAATAGTTTTATGCTTTATAAAATCAGGGATTTTTGGTACTTGGACTATTTAAGTACATTTTTCAACATGAAGCCCCAGTACTATCCAAATGAAATTTTCAGGGTTAATTCTTCATGAGAACCAATAGTTTTTAAAATAGATTGTAGAAAAAAATCATATGTGAAATATTTGTTTTAAAACCATAGAAAGTTAATGCAAACATTAGATTTTGAAAAAAAAAATACTTAATTTTTTTTATTTGGATTTTTATAACTCTAAGCCTCTGTTTGAAGTAAACTTAAAAAAGATCCATTGTTTATCTTGTTTGAAAAAAAGATCTTGGTCGCAAACCTAAAAGTTCGGCTGCAATTGCAAAGTTTAGGCTAAAATCGGATTTTGACAAAATTTTTACTAAAGTCCAAATAAATTTTGACCCACTGAATATTGCATTACCTATATGGGGGTTAAATCGATAGGTATTGAGGTCCTCCACCCCCAACCCCCGATGATCCGCCCCTCATGTTACACCGTGTATAGTTATGAACTAACCTTTCCAAGACTTTCGACAAGGCAGACAGAAGCGAGATCGGGCGGAATTTAGAAACAACATTTTTTGATCCGCTCTTGAAGGCAGGGGAAATATTTGCTGCCTTCCAAACCTTTGGTACGTATTCCTCGCGTAGACTAATGTTGAAAATATGAAAGAGAGGTATGCTTATGGAGTCTACTGTATGCTGTCTGACGGCTCCGTGGCGCAATGGCTTAGCAATGAGTTGCTTGCGCTGGGGGTGCGTGAAAATAGTCATTCTATCTTTGTCCTCACGGGTGATAACACATCTGCATTTTGATTATTTATTGAGGATAGATGTAGACATCTATGGATCATAGAAACCACTTACCATCATGTGGACTGTGTGCTCGTTTGTCACCCTAATTCTTTGAAAAAAAATCTAATAATATCGGCATAATTAACTCCAAAAACTTCCAAATTATTGAAGCTAATAATATATTGTTGGTTTGTGTTGTTGTCGATTTTTAGGCCATTTTTTTATAATTCTTGTACGTACTTTCGTTTCTTTCTTAATATTTTGAACTTTGCAAGACTTTATTAATTATATATCGGGAATTGGAGTTTTAATTCACCTCGTTTATATTTTAATTCATGTTATTTATCACGCGGGTACTTTATACATATATGCCCCCCATTTACTTGGGTCTTATATTACATTTTCATCATATTCATTTCATTTTTTTTGTACATAAACTTTTTATCGTAGTAAAAGTGTACCTTGGGTTGTGCGCACACTCTTGAGATTTACGTTTAAGCCATTAAGACTCCAAGAATGGTCACGGAGAAAAACTAAGTTAACACTAAGATACAATGAAGGATGTGACCTCTATGTATCATTATTAAGGTTTACAAATTTAAGACTTCTATGGTTCCCAACAGTACTATTATGAGTAAACTCGTTCACATCACTTGTACTGAAGGTATTATTCCCTAGTGCCGTTACTTCCGATTTAATCATCTAATCATGAAAACATACCCTGCTCGAGGACTATATGCTATACCAGCGATGGACGTTCCCATATCTCTCCATCATTTATTTGTCAAAGTCATCTTCTATTTTATTTTTATTCTAACGTGTTGCTCAGTTTCAGACTTTAATTATACTGCTTTTGTATTGTAAACTTAAATCTAATTATACCTTTTATCTCTACACTACTCTCGTCTACTCGTCACTACAACATTGTTAAATATATTTACATATGCAGGTTGTCTAAAGATGTTCCCTTCACCACCAAGCACGCTTTAAATTTGCACTTATAATTGAAACGAACAAACTCATCGCGCCGGTGGTTATTTAGCAAAGATGTGTCACGTATAGTAAAGTTACAGACTATATACGCCCCACTGTTGGGCACAGGCCTTCTCTCACTTCTGATAGTGTAGGCCAAGGTAGTGTCCGCCTTGCTGCTCATATGTGTTGGCGAACTTCATGTCTTCGAAATATTTATTTTTATTTTTTATTTTTCAGACATGAAGGTTTCCTCACGCTGTTTTCCTTCACATCCGAGCACGTGGTAAATCAGTTTTTCACGTACTGTGATTTATTCGGATAGCAACAAGTGCTAAAACCGGACATGGTTTATTCAACAATCATCTATTTCTGGTGTTTAAGTCCACGTACTATTATTGTGACTGGATTTCGCCACGTACAGGGTAAAACATCTCGACGCCCTTAAGTCGCTTCCGAGGTCTATAATAGTAATATCAAGGTATTGTGGAACTACTTTCGAAAAGATTACGTAATATTGACAATAATTATAAATGATTTTTTGACATATACATTTAAAAAATGTATACAAGAACAGTGAGCTAAACAATGTTAAAAAAATTAGGAAAATCTGTATATTGGTTGTCGTGAACAACTATAATATTCCTGGAAAATACGCGCTTTAGAAGTAAAGTTGCGAAAAATAGCTCGTTGCTAACTATACAAATATGCCAACAGTAAAACCCTAAAAATCCACGCCAAATGTTGTCAGGAACATCTGAAAGTGTCGTTTATTTATACATTTCGAATACGAACATTCCACTTTTACGAATAGAATTATTATAATAATTGATGTGAAAATACTATTCCCATATTCAAAGTGTTACTCAAAGACATAAATAGCAAGAACTGATTTTTCTGCTCAGTGAACACTGAAAATGACAAGGGTCTATGAAATCTACAGCGGTGCTCTTCCGAATTTTCTTTAATATGTCGTATAACGAGTTAGTATTTCCAAATATATTTATGACAAACTACAGAAGCGTTAAAATTTGGTCAGTGTTGTAAAATTTAAGGAGTTTAGATAATTTTATGTGCATGTGGCCCTGGCGTAAGAGACTGAAAAAAAAAACAAAAGAAATTGTTTATTTCTTTAACTTAGGTCTTAGCATTATTTTGTGGCCAGAGTCGCCCAGGAAGCATGTAGTAATGCTTGTGTTGGGTGAATCATCTAAGCTGTATCATCCCGTCCCGTGCGACATGCAGATCAGGCAGAAGAGGCAGGCTCGATCGGGGTAAGACCAAGCTCTCACAAATTATCAGCGTAAAATTGTAGCTTAATGCTGCTGTGTTTTGTATGCTGAGTGTAGACAACCCTCTATTTCTGGTGTGCGAACCCGGAGACCCTTTTTGCTGGAAACTATCTACATTTTGATTTTTAATCGAGGCTAAATGTATTGTTACGAGCTTGGGGTTCGAGACAATTAAAAACTGCCGATTGAATTACCAAAATTGACTATTTAATTACACAACACTAATTATAACTTAAAATCACACTAATAATAAAACACATTTCGCCGTTATTTCGCTTCGCTCTTGTATCGCCAATTCAATACTGCCTTGGTCGTGGTCCATACCGGCCTTATATAGGGCCTTAGACAGTTTCCAGAACCTTCCACTGTAGCGACATCTAGAATGTTCGAGTACATATCGGTCCCGAAATTTCTGGAAGGATCTCGACTCTCCTAGTTCTGCTACTCGACACTAGAGGGCGCTAGTGTAACTAATGTTGCCATGTACAAGACATTAATAGTGGCGCGTAACACTGCCCCCTCCTAAGACATGCTCATCCCGAGCATTATTGGCCCCATAATAACGCGCCAGTCGATCCACATGGACAATCTTAGGAGTACCTCTGACACCTTTCTGTATCCGGTAGGTTACGTCATTGATCCTTGTCACAATCCGGTACGGTCCGTCCCATTTAGCTTGAAGCTTAGGAGATTTCCCTTTGCTGCTAACTGGATTGTGTAACCACACTGGTGAACCTTCATCAAACCCCTTGTTGTTCATTTTGCGGTCATACCGTGTTTTCATCTTCTCAGACGTTTGCTCGCCCGTCTGTCTGACGTGCTCATAAATGTCATTCATTTTGTTCCGCAAGTCATTTGCATAATCGGTTATACTGCGTGGGGCATCAGGTGGTATTCCGGCGATCAGGTCTGCAGGCAGCCGCAATTCTCTCCCAAAGTTTACGAAAGCTGGTGTCACTGATGTACTTTCGTGAACAGCGCTTCGATATGACAACAAAAACGGTTGTATGTGCCTGTCCCAGTCTCGTTGCCGTTTTTCCACAACTTTTGCCAGGTACCTTTCCAATGTCTGATTAAATCGTTCTACCATTCCATCAGATTGTGGGTGGTAAGAAGTTGTTCGTGTTTTATGAGTACCCATAACTCTGCAAGTTTCCTGGAATATTTGAGACTCGAAATTCCTTCCTTGATTGCTGTGAATCTCTAAAGGTACTCCAAAACGACAGAAGACTTCATGAACTAGTTTATCTGCAATTGTTGAAGCTTCTTGATTTGGAATGGCGAAGACTTCTGGCCACTTAGTGAAGTAATCCATTACAACCATGAAATACTTGTTACCACTTTCACTTTCCGGAAACGGCCCCGCAACGTCAATGGCTATCCTCTCCCATGGTGCACCAACATTGTACAATTTCAATGCGCCTCTACTACGAATTTGAGGTCCCTTTACAGCCGCACAACTTGTACATTTGCGGCACCAGTCCTCGACATCGTCACGACAGTGGACCCAGTAAAACCGTTCTCGAATTTTCAGTAGAGTTCGTTTAACTCCCAGGTGGTCTCCTGAACAACCACTATGGTACAGCTGTAGAACATCCGGTAGTTTAGCCTTAGGGACAACCATTTGCAAATGACAACTGTCTCCCCGACCATTTACCCATTTACGGCACAGGACTCCATCCTGAATCAGCAAGCTGTCCCATTGAGCCCAATAGCTTTTCGTGGTTGAACTCATTGCTGAGATGTCGCTCCACTTGGGCTTAGGAGCACTGGCCTTCATCCATTCCAGAATCGGCTTAATGTCCGAATCTTCCTGCTGTGCATGTTGTAGGCTGTCCTTCCACTCATTGCTGAGCTGGTCTGTCCTGAGCATTCTCACAGATACCACTTCCTTACCCTCTGGCCTAGTACAATGCTTGCAATCTTCAGGGCAAGGTCTTCTTGACAATGCATCTGCATTGCCATGAGATTTCCCGCTGCGATGTTCGATCACAATGTCGTATTCCTGCAGTAGTTCAATCCATCTCGCAACTTGTCCTTCCGGATTTTTGAACTGCAATAGCCATTTCAGTGCAGCATGGTCAGTTCGTAAGTGGAATTTCCGCCCTAGAAGATATTTGCTAAAATGCTGCAAGGACTTTACCACAGCAAGCAATTCCCGTCTTGTGACACAATAGTTCCTTTCCGGCTTTGACAATGACTTGCTGAAGTACGCTATCACAATCTCTTGGTCACCATTCCGTTGAGACAACACACCGCCAAGTCCTATATCACTTGCGTCTGTGTCAACTATGAATAGGTGTTTTGCACAGACGGTTCTTGAGCTCCTGGAATGCAATATCGCAACTTTCATTCCAGCAGAAATGTCGCTTCTCCTCGGTTAGCTTGTGCAGAGGTTTGGCTATATCTGCAAATTTCTTCACAAATCGCTGATAATAAGAGCACAAACCCAAAAATGCTCTAACCTGTGTCTTGTCTTTTGGAACCGGCCACTCCTTGACAGCGGCAATTTTTTCTGGATCCGTGCGGATACCTTCTTCCGACACTACATACCCCAAAAAACTAACTTGCCGTTTGAATAGTGAGCACTTCTTTGGACTCAACTTGAGGTTGGCACTCTGGATCTTCATGAGACCAGGTTTTGAAGGTGTTCCTCAAACGTACGGCCTACGATGATGATGTCATCCAAATAGACCAGACAGGCATTTCCAATTAGCCCGCTAAGTACAAGCTCCATCAATCTTTCAAACGTTGCTGGAGCATTGCACAATCCAAACGGCATGACTTTAAATTGCCACAGACCCTTTCCTGTGGAGAATGCAGTTTTCTCCTTGTCCTTAGGGTCAATTTCAACCTGCCAGTGGCCACTTTTCAGGTCCAGCGTACTAAACCACTTTACGCCTGTGAGCATGTCCAGCGTGTCATCAATTCTAGGCAAGGGATAGCTGTCCTTCTTCGTAACGTCGTTCAGGCGGCGGTCAACACAAAACCGCATGCTGCCGTCCTTCATCTTTACCAGCACCACAGGTGAACACCATGGACTAGATGAAGGTTCAATAACACCATCCTTCACCATTCCCTCAATCATGGTTTCCACTTCCTTTTCACGTGCTACAGGCAATCTTCTTGGCCGCTGACGAATAGGCAATTCTTGTCCTGTGTTTATTTTGTGTTGAACTAAGGCAGTCTTTCCTATGTCAGCTTCGTTTGACGAGAAAACATTGGCGTACTTGAGTAACAACTTCTTCGCCTTGACCATTTCATTCGGGGAGAGAACGCTGCGACAGTCTTCTAAAAGTGTGGTTACTCTCGTTTGTCCATCCTTGCTAGGGGTCCCGGTCGATAGATATTCGCACCGACGCAACCAATCCACTTCCTCACTAGTACCGACCAATGTGCCTTTTTCTATAATCTGTTCCTGATCACAAAGGTTCAACACACGTACTCCTGAGATGTCGGTGGTTCTGACCAAGGTTCGAGCCACTTTCCATGGAAGGTCATTGTCTACCCTTTCCACGAGTACACAACGATGAGCTTGCCCAGGACTCCGAGGAAGACTAACCGGCACAATCGTTTCCGATCTCGGCGGAAGAACAATCTTCTCAAAGCTGTACACATTCCCTGGTAACGCCCCTTCCATGAAAAGTTCCTCTTGTCCACATTTCAAAACACCTTGCTTAACGTCCATCTCACAACAATTCTTCCTCATAAAGTCTAGGCCCAGGATGCAGTCGTCCATTATATCAGCCACGATGACATTATGCAGGTAGATTATGTTGCCTAGCTTCAACTCCACCTCCTTCTCTCCACGGACAGGTATGCGCTGACCAGAGGCTGTCACCAAATTAATGCGTTCTCGGTTGTATGCGGAGTCCCCAAGGAACCGACTTATAAGTTGGGAACTGACAACCGTGCGAGAGGCTCCAGTGTCTATGGTCAGTTTACACGGCGTTCCGTTGACTTCGCCCTTGATGATCAGGCTGTTCCCATCACGGGTTTGTGAGATCGAAATCCTTGGGGCTTTTTTAACATCAGCCAGCACCCGCCAGTTTCCCTGCTGCTGCTGGGCGGTGCTTTTAGCCGCACTACCCTCTCGAGATCGATCACCTTCCCTTTCTTTAGTTCGCTTAGGGCAGCTGGATCGAAGATGACCCCTTTCTCCACAGCCGTAGCACCTAGGGCTGTAGCTTTTATTGCGGTCCTGAACTGTAGCTGCTGCAACCTCCCTGACGCGGTGGGAACGATGATCCTGCCGCACGGCTTCCACCTCCAGTGCATGGGTCAAGGCGTCCTTAAGCGTCTCGTGGTGCCCGAGCCTCACAGCAGCTCTGACTTCAAGGTCGCGGATGCCGTCGATGAATGTCTGCACCAGGTTCCCTACAATAAGCGCAGGTACAGACTGGTACGCTTTTCGAACCAGCTTCTCCACCTCAAGGGCCCACTGCTGCAGGTTTTCGTTACTGCGTTGCACGCGAACTTTGAGCTGCGCACGAAAGACGTGTTCCAGGTGAGCTTTGCCATATCTCGCCTCCAATGCCTCAAGGAGCTGCTCGTAAGTCACTTCCTTACCGAGAGCTTCCAGAACAGTTAAGGCCTGGTCGCGCAGGCCTAGGGTGAGAGCAGTCATGGCCTGACTTTTATTCCAGCCGTTCGCTTTCATGACAGCCTCGAACTGGATTTTGTAGGCCGACCAGGAAGAAGTCCCATCGAACGGTGGCACTTTGAATCCACGTAGCGAAGGTGTTGTAGCTACCGCGGGAGCTGTAACTCCATCCCAAATTTTGAGGTCGTTCAGCGTTTTCTTCACGTCAGCCATCACATTGTCAACCCGATTGTACACTTGGTCGATTCGGGTTTCAGCTTCCGACAGGCGGTTGTCATATGGAGCAACCTTATCCTTCACCTCACTTATTTCTTTCCCGAAGGTAGCGTCAAGGTCCTTCATGAGAAGTATCTGCTCTTCCTTATCGCGTTTGAGCTGCTCTTCCAACAAACGGCCCTGTTCCTCCTGTTGGCGGGCTTGTTCCTCCTGTCCGTGCTGCAGCTTCTCTTCCAACCGACAAGCCTGTTCCTCCTGTCGGCGGGCCTGTTCCTCCTGTCGGTGAGCTTGTTCCTGCAGCATCATCATCAGAGTACCTAAGTCAGGTGCTGCAGATGCAGGAGCTGCTGACGGGCCGGACTCCGTGGTCGGCAACTGGCCTGCCGACGTCTGTGACGTTGCACCACCAAATCGTCTCTGGTCCGTCTCCTGTTGGCGTTGACTTCGGGTACGGATACCCTCGGTGTCGTCTTTAGGTAAAATCGGCATATTTGATCCCACTTCTGACACCAATTGTTACGAGCTTGGGGTTCGAGACAATTAAAAACTGCCGATTGAATTACCAAAATTGACTATTTAATTACACAATACTAATTATAACTTAAAATCACACTAATAATAAAACACAGTTCGCCGTTATTTCGCTTCGAAGTATTCTCTTGTATCGCCAATTAAATACTGCCTTGGTCGTGGTCCATACCGGCCTTATATAGGGCCTTAGACAGTTTCCAGAACCTTCCACTGTAGCGACATCTAGAATGTTCGAGTACATATCGGTCCCGAAATTTCTGGAAGGATCTCGACTCTCCTAGTTCTGCTACTCGACACTAGAGGGCGCTAGTGTAACTAATGTTGCCATGTACAAGACATTAATAGTGGCGCGTAACAGTATATACCTATGGACCACAGCATCTACTCACCATAAGGTGGTCTGTATGCTCACTTGTCAATCTTATTCTGGTACGTGGTAGAGCCATGCTGCAGCTATATTAATAGTATAGTTGTAGTACGAATGGATCGGTTTTTTTTTTTTTTTTTTTATAAGATAAGGGTGACAAACGAGCACACAGTCCACCTGATGGTAAGTGGCTGCTGCGGCCCATAGACATCTACATCTATCCTCTGTTACAAATCAAAATGTAGATGAGTTGTCACCCGTGAGGACTAAGATGGTATGCCTCATTTCCAGTAAAAAGGGCCTCCGGCCACCTGCACTCACCAAGCGAAACGCAGAGGTAAACCTCTACTTCACGCTGGTTTTCTGTGAGGTCGTGGTACTACCCCGGTTCGAGCCGGCCCATCCGTGCGACAGCAAAAGCTGCCGCGTGGCTCTACCACGTACCAGAATGACCGGGGAAAGACCATGCTTTCACAGAATACCAGCGTAAAATAGCAGCTTAATGCTGCTGTGTTTCGTATGGTGAGTGTAGAGAATCGAAGACCTATTTTACGGGAAAAGAGGCATTCTATCGTAGTTACGCGAGCTGACAATGCATCTGCATTTTAATTAACAAACGAAGATAAGTGTAGATGTCTATTGGCCACAACAACCACTTATCATCAGGTGGACTGTGTGCTCGTTTGTTACCCTTATTCTATAAAAAAAAATCATATAGAAAATTCCAAAAATAATAGTTTACACCAGACGTAAAATATTCAACCCAGCAACAGGCAGCAGCATCAAAGGTATTTACATCTGATACTGCAACGGACATCCATCTGCTAAGTATGAAACAACGGGCAAATTGAATGTACATAAATGGAATTTTACGCGCTGATAAAAAAGATAGAAGAAGAAGGTACAAAATCTCCCTCGGTTTAATTAATGGATATACACATTCGTATATTAAACAGTACTGTGTAGTGGCGGTGTGAAAGAGGGAAAAATAAGTAAATGTGAATCAACGTCTAAAAATAAAATAAAAAATGCGGTTGCCAACCCAGGTAATCCGGGTATCGGTCTGGAAAAATCGCTGGTGGTAGTCGATTCCACAAGGAAGTTGTGCGAGGAGGAAAACTTTTGGTAAATTGCGCAGTTGTGAATCACCAGATGGTATGGATGATATCGCGAGTTTTTACTGGAATCGAGGTTTTCTATATTAGTCCTCATGCGTTCTCTGCAACTCCATTTTGACTCTGAGATTTTGTAGGGTTTGTGCTTGTTCAGATTTCAACAAAACGTGAATTTTAAGCCTAACTTATATTAATTAAATTTACATATAAATTGCTTGCGCGTCGCGGGTATAATTTTGGGCGGTCTGACGTGAACTGTGTTCCGAAACGGGCGATACACGTATTTATGTTTTATAACTATCCATAAAAGGACGATACATCAAAAATTTGGAGTGCGCGGCTAGCACTCCCCACTCTGTGTGCCGGAATAGCGCTCATCATCTAAAGTAATTGGCGCGACGCGAGCTACAAATCTCCGTTTAGTTCCAGTCTTAGTTTTTATATCTACCAACCAGACACGACCATTCTTGTCCGGAAACACTTGCGTAATGAGTCCCCTTAGGCATGGTTTCTGTGGACAGTCAGGGTCTGCCACCAGATCGAAGTCAGCAACCTGCAGTGGTTTCTGTTCCTTGTGCCACTTAGTCCGAGGTATAATTTACATATATATTTATTTATTTATATTAGAAGGTAAAAATTTTATTACCACACTTGCCAGTACAAGTCTGTAAACCGTTGAGCTTTGCTCCATTGTTTTCGTAAGCAGAAATCGGTATTAAGTTATGAATAAGATGAGGTACCAAAAAGATAATTATTAGGAGTGAGGAATTCGATACTACCTAGCTCTACCGACATATGTATGAAGGAACGGTGGTTAACGATATTTTCCGCCTCTGCCAAGACCGTGTTTAACACCTCTTGTTTTGGTGCTCTTACTTTTAGGATGACTTTGAGTAGCATTTTTACACTCCTTAGAAGACGTTCCCATGCCCCATCCCAATGAAGTTTGGTGGGAGGTATGAGGTGCCACCCCATATTATTATACTTACGCGTATTGTTACTAATCCACTGTAAATCTGTGGTTGAATCACTCCAATTGAATTTATACGTGGTAGAGCCTTGCTGCAGCTATATTAATAGTATGGTTGTAGCAAGAATAGGTCGGCTCGACCGGGGAAGGACCATGCTCTCACAGAATACCATCGTAAAATAACAGCGTAATGCTGCTGTGTTTCGTATGGTGAGTGTAGAGAACCGGAGACTCTTTTTACTGGAAAAGAGGCATTCCATCTTTGTCCACACGGCTGACAACGCATCTGCATTTTAATTCGTAAACGAAGATAGATGTAGATGTCTATGGGCCACAGCAACCACTTATCAGGTGGACTGTGTGCTCGTTTGTCACCCTTATTCTATAAAAAAAAAACACAAAACCCAACGTTGCGTTGGAGTAAGTTTTTATCCTTTCGTGATGGTGCTGGCCAGTC